CTGGCTCCGCATTCAGCAGCATTGCCAGTGAGCTATTTGGTTCAGGGAATGGAGGATGCACATGGTCGAAGGAAAATAGATGAGATTTGCAAGCCTTGGCCAATTAGGCACTCCCCCTTTTCTTAAAAATGAAATTAAAATGTTTTTCTGTACCTTTTCCTCTCCCTCCTTCCCCCTTCCCCAGCAGGTGAATTCTAGTTGCAGTGCTGAGGACTGCTTAGCCAGAAAGATGCTATAACAGAGATGGGACAGTGTGTCTAGTCCCAGAAGATACTGTTGAAAATTAAAGGAAACTCCAAACTTAAATTTTAAGCAGCTCAGAGCTCCTTGCAGAGACTGCTACTAATTAGAGCATTAAGTCATGTGGCAGTTATTGTAAGGTAATGACTGCTACCAAAGAACTGCATTAATAGTAATCTTTTATTTTGTGTATAGGCGTTGAGATGCAATATATTCCTGTAGTGATTTTAGCTTTGTTTGGACTGTTGAGCTAGGGGTAACCAAGAAGGAAAAGCAATGGGGAGGTCATTATCCTTCTAAACTATTCAAAATACTTCCTAGAAAGGCTGGGACAATGATGAATGGCTGTGATCAGGAAGCAGGCACCCTTACTTCAAGTTTCCCTGCTCTTCTGAGTTATTAATTCATCCATATCTTAATCAGGTCTGTGAAAGAAAGGGAAGAGAGAGAAATTTTATTTTGCAATAGAAAGGTTTATTTTGTATTTTTTCTGAGTTATCTCCTGTTCCTCAGCTTTCTGATTCTGGGTTGGCTGGAACTGCAGACCTCACCCATTACGAGGTATGAGCTAATCCTAGAAGTAGCAAGAGTTTTTAAAGTGGACTTGGTGTTTCTTCAAGGTTGCCTTTTGATTTTTGGACTTCATAGATTTTCCAATTTTTTAGAGAAATCAGGAGAGTTCATGTTAATTGTGATAATTGGGATTTGGAGTATTTATGGAAAGGTGAACTATAATGAGAATCAGCATCTACTAGGTTAAAAATCCAGTCTTGGATTTGTATAGGATATCATGGGGGACATTTCATATACAGACAACAGGTTTGCTGAGATAGCCAAGCAGCCATTTTATCTCTTTAACAGGACCATATCCTCAATGAAGAGAAAATTGTTTTCTAGTAGACAGATGATTCCTTTCCCTTTGACAGAATAGGTTTAGAATTTGAAATTCTGTTCTCAGTTATGCAAGAAAATCTATGACCCCTTATTTTTTGACATTAACTATGATGAGTGAGTGTTTTGTTTGGATTTTTGATTGTCAGACATCTCTTTCATATCAGAATCTGTTCATTTTTACCTGGTCATTCTAGATATCATTCATAGAGAAATCGGGCATCTAGCTTTCTTTTAGTGAAGAGGATGAGCAGGAAGCAAAGCTGTGCAGATGCCTGTCTCTCGCTGGTCATTCTGGTTGTGCAGTTGTGCATTCACATCCTGGGCTGTGAAAACAGTCTGCTTTTAAAGATCACTAAAGGCCAGATGTGAGGAGGGAATTAACATCTAAAATGATGCCTACCACAGGAAGACAAGCAGTGTAGAAAGAGAACGTTTTCGCGCAAATGTTCTTTCATTCTGGATAAAGGGTCACAGCTAGTCAGGAAGGCTCTTGCGTTTGGTCCATCAACTGAGGAAACTGGCTTCTCAAGAAACTTCATGACAGTGGGCAAGAAAGCAAATGGAGAGGCTTGGAAATAAACTGGGCTGAAAAAAGAATGAGGGGGAGAATGTTCTGCAGTCCATCTTCGCCATGATGGTTATTACAAGTGGGCAGATGACTATGTTGTGTAGTCAGGCTTTTATTCCTTGCAGTGCATGTTTGGGGTCATTCTGCCTGTATCAGAGAGGTCATTTTTAATTGTTTTTAATAGTTCTTCAAGAGTATTCAGAGAGGAGAAATATGATTCTGATAGGATTTGTGTCAGATGCAGAAGAGATTTGAGGTACTTGAATGGTGGTTAGTGACTATGCTTCATTGTCTGAATTATTTATTGCTCCTTAGCATTTCCAGTCCAATGAGGTTATATGGAAGGTAGGGCTGCTGTGAAATTTTTTCATATCTGGTAAGGTGCTCAGCATAGATGGATTGAGTGTTGTCACCTCCTGATGAAGGAGCTTTAGCTTCTGATGAAGCCAACAGGCTAGGCATAGTTTACGCCAAATACCTCATTGGCCCAAAACATTCAAAGCTTGTATTTCTGGGAACACCATCCACCATTAGTCTTTTCTGATAAGTGGAACATCAAATGGTTCCTCAAGCATGCCTAGTATTTGCATGCATGACTGAGGTTCTCTATACCTTTGGAATCTGCAGCTAGGTAACCATATTTCTCCTGTTCATTCCCAAATTGTTATCAAATGAGATGTTAATTAGTAAGGGGAAGGAAGGGAAAACACTTGATTCTTCCCATTGGTGCTATTGGATTTTCCACCCCATAAGGAAATGTAAGTCTTAAAACAACCTTAGCTACCAGTGAAAGCAAAGGGAGACAGCTGATGAAAAACTGCCACCCATGTGAGAGTTCAAAGACAAATGTTCTGAGACAAGAGTATTTTTATCTTGGACAGCAAACTAATGACAGACTTCATCATGTGCCTTTCTACTTGTCTTGGATGTTGGCTTATGTCAAAACATTTAGTTATCTTCTTTATTTCCCCTTTGCATTTTTGAGTTTTTTATTTTTGAGTTGCTATAATCCAAAGAAGAAAAGCTATGACAGAGGAAGTTGATCAGATTCATTGCTGTGATCAGATGATAGCACATCCCCATGTGACTTTAAAAAAAAAAAAAAATTCCCACGCAGATAATAATCTTCAGGCAATGGGTTGTTCGTGAAGTATTCATTTCATCTCCATGCTCTTGGTATTTTTGTTGTGTGATTGCTCAGTGAACACTACCAGTAGTTGCCTGAAAATTTGTATGCTGTCTTGTATCTCTATCCTGAGCTACTTCTGCAGTTAAATGCAGTTCAGAAATGGTGGTTCTTATGTTTAAATGCACATAATCCTTGATGAAGAGTTTGTTCTTTGCACTGCGATAGCTTCTGATCAGGATTTGATTTCTGTTCTGTGAAGTCAAGTAAAATAAAATAAGAAAGATGACAAATGGATAGAACAGCAAAACTGCTTGCCCTGAAGCCTTTGCAAAGGCGAGTCTTTTCCAATTAGTGCCAAAATGTGGAGCCACAGCTCTAATATAATTGAATAAAAGCAGAGAAACAACCGCCAACCCC